GGTTATTTACTAATAGTTTATTATAATTTCGACAGAATTTAGACAGTCACTAAGGGATTTCGGCAAGCAACCTTATGCTGATCTAAGAGAAATATTATTTATTTTTATATTCATATTTATATTTTTATATAGTTAACATTAATTAATATTTCAGAAAAATTTTGATAATTATTGTATTTCTTTTTGTATAATTATTATTACTAATACTTTAAAAAAGTTTAATAATTATTTATTTTAATTTTGTTAGTTTCTTGTTAAAGTTATATTTAATTCTATTATTTTATTATTTGATAATTGAATTCTGAGTTTTGATAGTTTAGTAATATGATCTTTTACATGAACACAATCACTCACTATTTTTTAAAAATATTATTATAGAAAATAACTCTGAAAATGATAACAATATACATATAAAACTCATAAATTTATTAATATTAATATAATTATATTAAAAAATAATGGGTTTCAAATTATAATATATATAATTTTGTATTTTTAAAGTAAAAAAGAAATTGTACTTGTTGATTTTAAATAATATTTTTATAAACTGAACTTTTATCTAAATTCAAGTTTGGTTCAAAATTTGAACTAAACTTGAACTGAACTTTGACTTGAATTCAAGAAATATTCAAAATTTGAACTGAACTTGAATTAAACTATTGTACAAGTTTGAATCTAGTTTGAGTTCAAATTAAGATCAGTATATAGTATTATATATTGATTTGTAGCTCTAAACTTGAGCTATAAATTTATTTATAAGTATAAATTATAGTATTTATTAAGAAATAAAAGTTTACTTAGTGACAACTAAAGTATTTTTATTTTTATATTTATTCAATTTTATTATAAATTTTATATAACTCTTTGAATATTTATTATTAATATATATTATTTTATATCAATTTGTAGTTCATATTACTGGTTACAATTTGCTTAGAATTGTAATTTATGATTACTATTGAAAATTCAATGTTTACTAGAACACAAATAAAGTTAATTAAAATTATAAATAATTATATATATATATTTTAAATCTATATAACTTTTTGAATATTCATTTTAAATATTAACTATCTTATATTAATTTGTAGCTCTAGTTATGATTTATAACTTTAATTCAAACATCATCAAACATTTACTTGAACTTGAACCAGACTTTTTTTCGGAACCCTAATCTTCGCTGTTGAGAACATGTGGGGTAACTCATATTGTACGCTGAAAAGGCCTACGCTCTGTAATGGGAGAAGTCAAACCAGATATTCGATATCTTAAGATATACAGACAAACCTCCCTAAATGCACACTCTATAAGTGCACACCCTCTCTAAATTCACAGCATGACTGGGTCCCAGCTCATAAGAGCTCTATATATTTTGCCCTCTAAAAATGCACAACCTCTCTAAATGCACGATTTACTATGGTCTCAAGAGAGGTAGTCAAAAGATAGCAGTAATGCTGGATGAATTAGTTTACTTACCTATAGGAGCCTAAAGTTAGCACGGCCTGATCGTATTACTCTATCGTATCAATGGACTTTGTACCTCCGGCTAGTCATTTAATGGTAATATTTTCACTCGAAAAGCTAGGTGCAGTTTTTACTGTAGTTGTTCAAGTATAAGAGAATTCAGGATGGTTGTATTACATTTTGATTCTCCTCTTATATTGCTTATTAGTTTGGATAGTGCATTTTAATTAGTCTCTGAGAAAAAGTCCGTCTTTGGCAAGTCTCGAACTAAGCGAAGATAACTTGTAGAGGAGGTGAAAAGAGTTGTTTAATGGTCTCATTAACCCGGCATGTCCGCCACTCAAATTTTGATCTGAATCTCAAATTTTTCCAATTACAAAGACGACGGGTTACACCCTCTCTTTAGTAGGCGAGTGGATTCGAAGTGTAACTTTCTCCACTTATGGAATCTGTTTCGCTAAGCCCATGAATTCGAGTCCATTTGATCGGTAGGGCTGCCTTGGGATATGCCATGGCAGGCGTAACCACATTAGCTTGTGAGTAATGCCAATCACTTGGAAGATATCGTTAGTAATGAATGCTACGCGGCGATTCAGATTTTACGTTCACAGATCTCATTAGCCTAGAGTAGGGTTATAAACGTACCATAAGAAAGCTATTGAATGGTTAAGTAAGCAACACAGTTTGTATGCGGGAAGGGGGACTCTAGTGTCAAATATTTATCTGTCGAACGTCTCGTCCGCATATCTATTAAATCGGAGAATCCCTCATTTCTAGCTCGTATTTGGAATTAATCAATCTTGATATAACAGAGCTTATGGTGACCTCCCTTGATGTCTGTGGTCGCAGCCCTCACATTATGGTCGGGGAACTGATTTTATGTAATTTAGTCCCTGAAATACACGGATGCCGCCGCTCAATAATGGCAGACCCTGGTCGATCAATTCGAGTGGAGGCAAAATTAATTCAACTAATCTCTGGGTGCACTGATGATCTTGTTCCTAGTAAACCGAAACTCGAGAGCGTGGCGTTTCACTTACTTCTTGCGAAATTTGACAGGCAATGATTTTTTAGAGTCAGGCAGAAATTTATTAGTCGATTTGAAAACTAACTAAAGGACCTTGACATCGAAACCAACTGAAATTAGTGTTCTTCTCTTCCAAATTCAAACACTTACTGCCGCTTTACAGGCCACTGCAAAATCACAGACGGAAATATCAGATACACCGAACCCATCACTACTCGCAACACACGAATGCTTAACTGGGAGATGCAAACAAACAAAGATGAATCGATTCAACCATGTAATGAGGACACGGACTGAATCGTTGAACAAGTAATTGAACAGAATCCGGTCGAAGACAAATGCGGCACCGATTAAAAAGAAGGTGGCACAAAAGCAACCGAAATGATTGATCGAGCACAGATAAAGACAATCTCGACCTGGTGTGAAGCTAAAGTCATTGATATTGGAGCCTCAGGATGTGTGGTTAGTCACGACTTTCTCCAAAAGAATAACATCAAAATACAAAAAAAAATCAAACATAACAATGTCGGATATAAACGATCACCGCTGGAGCAATTGACGACTTCCAACAGTGGTCGAAGGAATAATATTTCTAGTTACATGTAGTATGATTTACCGTATTACATGTATTCCAAAATTAAGCATCCCCACATTTGTTATGTTAACCAAAAATAAGCACCATATAAAAAAAACAGCATATTCGTAACAAATAACTTTATTAACTTCAAAATTTTACAATATACAGTCAAACCTTATATATTCACACCCTCTATAGTCATATCATATAAAAACCCGATCACCCTTTTTTCAAGAGCCGGTTATAATAAAAGCATCTCGCTATAAACACATTCAGGAAAAAAAATTATTATTGGGCCAGACAGTGTGACTATAGAGGGGATTGACTGTATTATCATTTCCAGCATTTTAATTCGTATAATATCATAAGCTACGGCTAATCCCTGTTTCCTTGGCTTATCTCAGTTATCCTGCATTAACCCAATATTTAACCATCAAGTTCAAAATGACTTGCTGCTTTATTTCTTCCATGTTGCTTAGCATAAATGATAACTTCTCTCTTGGTCTCAATAAAATTTAAATTGTTGTTACGTTTGATATTTCTTATTTAAATATACCCGCAATTAAATACCCTTATAACAAAAAGGGGTGCCTAATTTCGGAACAGTACGGTAATACCATATTTTGTCACATAGCTTCCCCACTATTTGGTTTATTTGGAGAAAATTTAAACCTTGATTTAACCAAAAATTGCATCGCGAATTTGTTTTATTCATTTTGCAGAAACGTAACTGGTTTTCCAGGAAAAATCAAACTAAATTAAGGTTTAAATTTACTCTACAGGAGGTGGTTTATGTGAGAAAATACGATATTAAAAAATGCTGGAATCCTATTCCAGAAACAACTGTTAAGGAGTTTGAAGTCTATTTACTATAATGATGGGAACTGAATACGTACTATGACTTTTCAGTATTACAGCCCTTTAGAATAGTCTAAAACACGTGAAGAATTATTAAGCATCTTAAACTAGAAAGCAGAAATTAAAAGAAATTAAAAGAACTTGATAAGGAGATGAATCAATTCAAATAATACTGGTACAAAAATTGATATTTCATATAAATTAAAGGTTATATCTAATATTTACGTTTAGTACAAGTATCGGTTTGTATCGGTATGTTCCAAATAAGGTAAACTTTGTTTTTCCATTTCTCTTTGTACACCACATGAACGAAAAACACAGGTTCACAATGAAATACTTCCAATATCGAACGAAAAACGTTGTAACTTTATTAGATTGAATAATGCAAATTTTAATTCGTGTTAGAGTCTAAACATCAGACAGAGATGTAATCATGGAATTGATATTGATATTAACTGTGTTTGAGTTAAAACACAACCAAAAACAGTTTCTACAGTGCGGAACCTCTATAATTGAAAAAATTCTAGTCTTTAAAACGTTATGGCACGTGATATTAAAATTCTAATCGATATGTTCGATAGATCTTAACCATGGCATTAAGAATAAATCATAATTTAAAACGCATTATACGTATAATTAATCAAGCTTAAATAAATGTCATCTCATTTATCGTTTTGGAGTTATATTTATTATAAAATATACATTAAATATAATTCTACGACAAATTTTCGGGCTTTTTCTAATGAAACAAGTTATATTAAAAATCACTATAAACATCAAATTATATGATATTGCACATCATGATACAATTTATGAACATTAATATTATATTCACTGTTCTCTTTCTGATTGTAAAGTCTGGACACGAACACCAGGAGCCGGAAAGATGCTGCTTACGTCTTGCAGAGTGGACGATGGCGATGACGATGAACCCACTGACTATTTGATAATCTCATCACAACGCCGCTTTATCAATCTCCACTCCAAAAAACTGCAGTATCACATAAGTCGCCCAGAACCGACAACTCCATATTCCGATCTGATTCATTTACGTACAGACAAACCTCCCTAAATGCACCCCCCTTGGGACCATAGTAAAGCGTGCATTTAGAGAGGGTGTGCATTTATAGAGCTCTTATGAGCTGGGACCCAGCAATGCTGTGCATTTAGAGAGGGTGTGCACTTATAGAGGGTGCATTAAGGGAGGTTTGTCTGTATATCCAAACCTAGTTCACGATTATGCATCTTTGGCGAGCCTTACGTTACAGCAAGAGCTTGAATTTGTGGTTGATAAAGATGATGTTTCTATGATTGTTGTAGTAGAGGTCTATATGTTTTGATTGTTTGAAATCCTTAGTTTGTTGACTCGAACAACTTTCTTTTAACAAGATAAATGTCTAAAAAAAAGTCTTATCAGTACGAAAAGTTATGGCGAGACACAATTGGCTGCTGAGATACTCACGTGCGGTGACGAAAATAAGCGTCGAATTGAAAGTGAAACTGGTGTAATCGCGGATCAAACTATATTTGCTGTTCGCATCATCTCCAGTTATTTTACGTTTTACAAAACCGTAATCCCTACAGCATATTGGAAGTAGTGCTCCTATCGAACCGAACTTTAGGTCGAGTTCGGGTTCAGTTCGAAATCCGAACCGAACCCGAACAAGTTTTGAAGTTGGGTTCGGGTTCAAACTGAACTTTTTGAGGGGAGCGTTAAAGCAAGGCAAGCCGTTTAGCTGGTTTAGCCACAACACGCCACATTTGATCGGTGGCACATGATTTGAAAAAAATTGCCAATCAAAATTATTTACATAATAAATAATAAAAACACTTCTTGTAAGTAAAAAAGTTTTTTATACTCTCTGAAACAATATAATTTACCTAAAATGATTCTAATTTACGAGTTTTTTAAGCATTCTCTAAAATGTTAATTATGTCTGATGCATTGCAACCGGATACGGACACCCTGGCCTGCCAAACTAACTTAATGATTTATGTCTTCTATGCATTTTATACTATAAATAGTTATCATTGATTGATTTCACTTATAACACCAACAAGTATAATTGAAACTTGTTTACAATTTATGTTTGGAATGATTGTGATTGTTGGTGTATGGATACATATTTTTTTACTAACAATGAGAATAGTACAATAGTTACGGCAGGATTAAAAAATTCACTTCCTGATGAAAACCAAGATATATATTGCTTGATTAAAACAGTGTGAAAGCTAACAGAATTATGGCTATCTTTCCTAATCGCTGTATAAAAGAGCAAGAATATGACATTCTCCTATATACAGTTCATATTGTTCGAATATGAATTAAAAATATCTATTATGAACCAGTTTTCAATAAAATAATTCAAGCAATGCACAAAAAAACTCAAATCAATTGTAAAGCACTTGTTCAAAATGTGATAATTGCATGTTCTTTACAAGTTAATGTCAAGTACATTTCACGAAATTACTTGAAAAATTCAAAAAAGTGAACATTCTGAACATGGTAGCATTCACCTTTTCTTCTTCAAGTAACTTTGACGAATTCCCTCGAATTATACTACAGAAAACTCAAAACAAGAACTTCTATTATGCATGACATTATTGGTAAGTTAATTTCTTATTTTCTCTGCTTTTTTTGATTTTCTTTCTTATTGTTCATTCTTTATTTTTCCTTCTCTTTTCTTTATTTTTTTTGTTCTTTTTCCTCATTATTTTTCTTTCTTCAATCTTCCTCTTTCATTTTTTTCCTTATTATTCTCTGTTTTTTTTTTTATTTTTCTTTTTATCATTCATTCTTTTTGATTTTTCTTCTTATTATTCACTTGTTCTTTATTTTTCCTCCCTTTTCTCTTATTTTTTATTCACTCTTTTCCCTCTTTATTATCATTTTTTTTTTTGATTCTTCTCTTTCATTTTGCTCTATATTATTTTTCTTCTTTGCTTCTTTTTCATTTCTTTGATCTCTTATTATTTCTCTTTTTTCTTTACTTATTTCTTTCTTTCCTCTCTTTTCTTTTTTCTTGTTTCTTTTTTTTCACTTTCTTCATTTAGTGTTAGAGTATACCTATACGTATTTAGTGTGGTATAATTATTTTTGTGTAAAATAACACGAATTTTGAATTGGTAATCATTGATATTAATATTTTGAGTAACGGTAATTTTTTATTAATTAAATTTCACCAATATTTGGAGCGAAACATGGTTAATCTTTATAAGGATCATGTATATAGACGAATATCCTTAAAAGTAGTGTTTGACTTTTAAAGGTTTTACAGGAAAGATTGGTATAGATCAAAATTAATTATGAATTATAGCTTCTGTTTTTAAATCATTAGATTCTAAAGACATAAAAACTTTTTTAGGTTGATCATACTAAAAATAAAGCGCAGAAATGCTCATATACCATTGTATTAACAAAGTAAGTCCAAGAAAAACTTCAAAAGTATAATAATTCCATCCAAATTGATTTTCACCATCTTCTGTTTCTTTTCGATTGATTAATAATAGTTTCAACGTGATCCATAGTAGCCTTACGATAAGCAGATTGAATTATTCCAAAATGTGAATCACAAATAGACTTGATATGATCAGGAACCATAAAATTACGTTCAATTGTGTCAAAACGTCTGATTATAGTAAGCCATTAATAAAAACAAAGCATAAGATTATTTTTGTTTTGACCTCCCGCATTATCACATGTGACTTTTAGATTTTTTGAGATTGATTCCAGTAAAGTAAACTGTCATATATAAGATTAAACGTAGTGTTAGCACATTTAGACGTTTCGTTAGTAATTGATGTTCCCCAATAAGATAATTTCTTTGTGGCGTGGGTTCTAAATCAGTGTTGGTAACTCCAAAAATATGAACATTAAATGGATATTTAAAAAACAAACCACCAGGTTGTCATGGTGAAAATGGACTCAGTACATTTTGAGCCCAATCATAACAAATATGAATAACATTAAGCTTTGTTGTTTAATGATAGAAACATTTTTATTATAATGTTGACGTTCAATAGTTGCGACCGCTCGATGAAAGATCAAATATCAGTAGTACAGACAAACCTCCCTAAATGCACCCTCTATAAGCGCACACCCTCTCTAAATGCACAGCATGGCTGGATCCCAGCTCATAAGAGCTCTATATATTTTGCCCTCTATAATGCACACCCTCTCTAAATGCACGCTTTACTATGGTCCCAAAGGGGGTGCATTTAGGGAGGTTTGTATGTAATGCACGTTTAAGAAAACATTGAAATACATCACAAACAAAAGACCTTTCTCATAATTGCTCACCTAACACTCAAGGGCCATTTATGCAGGTCGACAACCTGAATTAATAAATTAGTTACCAGTCTGTCAGTCACAGCTTCATCCATGCCTTCATCGGAACCTAAATTTATGGCAACTCAACTTTGTGCAGATCTTTTATATGATTTGACTTCATGTCCGAAATTTTTAACATTAAATTTTCTGTCTGTAATTGTTTGAAATCGATTTCGGGAAGAGCGTATTTCTGTAGTGTTGATGAAGTTGGGAAACCTCGTTCCTTCTATTTCTCGTGATTGCAAAAGTTCGTTGTCAAATAATGTAACAGTAGATGACAAAAATACTGCTGGTCTGAAGGTACGTGAGGTAGGACGAGAAAACCTCGCAACGAGACCGAACAACAAAGACATTTTTATGAACATGAAGCGAAAAATTTTGATACGAGATCAGATAATCTATTTTTATAGATGACCTTCCGCACATGATTGATGTAATTCTAGGGGAAAATGGCATAAAAACTTTACTATTTTTTGCAAAACTCCGTTATGGGCAAAATCTTTATAATGATGTGTAAGCCACAGTGATTGCCTTGAGAGGAAGTGTCAAAATATCCTTGGTACATTCTGAGCATTGATCTAGCTCTGGAATTTCTTTACCTTAGACGATACTTTCTCGGTATTATATGCAAGGGCTTTTTAGATCTTGGAATTTCAAGTTGATTAATTTAGTCTCTCGGTTTTGGGCTAGTGAGTTATCAGTTTTTTTCTTGACTAGCTTTGTAGAATCTTCTATTTCTAGTTGATCGCCAATTCTGCGCCTTAGGCTGCTGATTGTGCTTATAGTTTCATTTTTTTGAAATTGTAATCAATCTTGTAAACGATCATTACTTTCTCCTTGGGCTTTGAAGTTAGAAAGAGCAATAATAACGATACGAGTATAGCCCCCATACTCTGCTTGTTTTTATAACGCATTAGTCTGTATAAAAGGAACCAAAATTGCATACAACCGAAATTCATTAACGGAATTGCACGTCTCGGATTTGCGCATCTCGGAGCGACGATCCCAAATAGAATCATAATTATCAAAATTGATTATCGTTATCGAAAAAAAGAGCTTAACTACGTTAAGTGGCTACGTGTGTGGCCATGACCTTTTTCGGTCTGATTGCTTTACTGGTACAAAATAAAAATATCTCGATATGGGGGTGAGTCAATAAAACCAAGCAATTATTTTTTTTAAACATGAGTTTTTATATTAAAACAATAGAAATAAATATATTATCATTTTTTACATGATAAAATTTTGTGATATTGTGTTTCAAAGTTTTTTTTTACATATTAATCATTTTATAATTTGCTTGGTTTCTGTTGACTCACACCATATAGTCAAGTACATGTGAAGTGGAAAATCTATCCACCCAGTTATTTTTTGTACGTGATGCTTCTTAGTTTCGAGTTCATCACAGCGGAAAACCTATCTTTTAATGGTCCTAAGGTTATACCAACCACCTGTTTACGCTGTCCCTCAATATATATGGCTTCCCTTAATTGCCGTTTTCGTGAGATTTGTTTGATATTCGCTATTACAAAAAATGGCTTCAGTTGTGAACATGATAAAATGCCAATCCATGCTTAGCATAGTACATGTATTTAGTATTACATAGTGTCACGTAATGATGAATATAACCACGAAACATCTTATAATAATGATATGCACGGATGAAATCCGTGCATATCCGTAGAGACAATCCTCATAGTCTTCGCACTTGTTCATGTGGAAAGAGCCTTCTTTATATTTTGGAGATAGCCTATCTTGACTTGCTCTCGGTAATATACAACAGAGCTTACATTCCCGTTATTGCGTGATCGACTCGGCCGGATGTTTCTTCACCCAAAATATCTCTCTGTAATTCTATATTGATTTCTTTGTTGGTTAACTTTCTCATTGATGCATGTAAGATTGATGAAATGAATTCGTAACGTGTCGTCTCACATTGATTTTATGTTCATCAGCCATAATAGTATTTTCGATACACACTGCTTGATCGATTCGTCGTCGTTTTCCAAAGACTTATAAAAAATAAGCCAGTTATTACGTCTGTGTTCTGCACATATCGACTTACCTGTATGGAATTGCTTGATATTCGTAATTTCCTCACTATTAACCTTGTATCTCCTAAGCACATTTTTTAATTCTTCCACAGTTTTGTATGACGAGAACTTCGTACCTTTTGCTTCTTAAGATCTCTAATAAGTTTTGTAAGTATTATTGCTGGCTCTCCCTTCAACCCATAACTTAAAAATTCTCTTTAGTCAACTCAAGAAAGGCAAGTCCAGTAATTTCTTCTCCTTAAAATTTTGAAATGTTGATTCTTAAGTTTCAAGTCTCTCTTCCGCAAGTATTCGATAAACTCCTCCCATGTGGTGCAATTCATAGGCAAGCTAGAACACTTTGTGTTCAATTTGCACAGACAGTGATTAAAATTCATTTAAAAATTAATCTGTGCCAAATTTTCTCAATATGCGCATGATATAATATCAATGCATCATATTATTGGATTTAAGATTAAAGTATGAATTTTTTTATCTGCGTAACCAGTTTCCAAAAAATGAAAATGCGAAAAATACGGAAATGGATATTCAAATCTAACTTGGGGTATTAATAAAAATGTTGGGGAGGCAATTTTACATATAACCTTATTACATATAAACTTAATCTCCACTCTAACCCTGACCCTTATCGGCCACATTTCAGAAGTGTACTCTAGCCACGGCAAAACATGTTCGGATCACGTGGTAACCAATAAGAATGCTGATCTGCTGGTGATACAAACCAATAAAAAATGTCGGGAAGGCAATTTTACATATAATTTCAACTCCAATCCTAACCCTAATCCTTAAAGTAAACTTTAACAGTAACCTCTATTACCGTAGGATTTTTCCGGACATACAAAATCTCACGTGACCCGAACAAGTTTTTTGCTGTGGCTAGGGTACTACTGTGGTCGCAACGTACAAACTCACGTCGATGTCATAACGCGCGAACTGTGACATGAAAGCCTATAGTATCTCCTGTGCAAACCATGACATGCACGTTAGTGTCGTGATATGTGAACGTCATATCCAAGACACCACCAGAGTTGTAGTTCTGAAAATGCAAAGTTCTTTAGCAGTTGAACTGTTTTTCTGAAATAGAATCTCAATAATAAATTTTATATATGTCTAACACAAGATCTCTATCATGACTCGTCCACCGAATGATCGTTCATCGATGGCAACCTCATGTAATCTAAGGAAGTCTAAGAAAGTACGCTGTAAATTTTTCAGTTAGATTTTTCTGTATCTGCTGGTGTGGTAAGTCCAAAATCAGCAATTTGAGCAAGTCTATCATGTATTAATATATTTTCATAGTGGAAGTCACAACTTTATTCAATCATTCAACAATACGAATCGAATAACTTAATTTCATCACTATTGAGTATTCTTTTGTAGCTGGGTTTTTAGTTATGCTATAATAAAACAAAAAAAGAAATAGGCTTACACTTTAAAAGGTGTTCATTTACCTCCCTCGTTTATAAACTCATGAATTATCTGGTTCCATGTTGAGTCAGAAACGAATATTATCCAAATCTGGTCATTAAACTGAACTTTTCTAATAAAAATAAGAAAAAATCAAACAATATTTATTATAAATTTTGATTCAAGTCCTGCATATTTATTTCGTATTGAGATAAGTAACTTTTTGGATATCACAATAAACTTTTAATAATATAATTTTAACTTTGTAACAGTCATCTTTTGTATGATTAATACAACTCAGCAATTTTATTATCTAAACTTTTGGAACGCAAAGGTTAAAGTCCAAGAATTTTCATACATTCATGGAGTTAAATCCAACATTAAAGTATCAGATGTCTGGGTTTACCTCCATATTTAACTAAAACCTTTACAAGTTCAAAAAACTCAACAATATGATATTAGAAATGCATCAATTGTCCTATAGTAATAAAGATATATTTTTAGTTTGTAAAGTTTGTCAACTAATCTATAGAAAAACTTTGCTTTGAGCATATATATTATTAATACATTGATAATATTATTAATGATTCTTTTTGAAAATTCGTCCACTTGTAGAGAAGTTGCAAAAAAAAGCATAGTCTGTTTTGAAGAATGCGCCAGAATGTTTATGTAGTTATAATTAAACTAGCTTAGAAAACTTTCATGGCAATATTGTAAAGCAGGAAAGCGAAAGCAATTAGTGTAGAATATTGCATTATGCTGCTCTTTTTAAACATTTTCATTCTCAAAAAAATGGATACTGTAAGGCAATGAAGCAGAAGCATTCGCCAAGAAATTTAACTCACAAAGAAAATTAATAGTCAGGTTGTATAATTATGATGATTCATTTTATTTACGTATAAATAATTTATAAAAATAAGAACAAAACGAATAAAATTTATTATGATAGAATAAAGTATATAATAAAATAGACCAATGACTATAAATCGAATATGTAATAGTTATAAGTCACCATCCTAATAGCAAACAAAAAATAAATAAAAAGAAATTGAAGTTGTATATCGATGAACACGTCAGTCTTCAAAAAATAAAGCGATGATGCTATTAAGACCGCTACTCCTATCATCATTAATTGGATAATTGTAAAAACTACAAGTTCAGCTGTAATTACAAAATAGGAAATAAAATATCTTCGACTTTTACCACCAATATAAACTCCAAATACAACAAACAAACAAAAAAAGACGAGAAATTCAAAGATATCCAATTTTAAGTTTCGCTGGAACAAAAAGTATAAAGACCAACAAACAATATAAGTTAAAAACAAGCGGTCCATTAAAACAAGGATTGGATTTCGGGATTCTAAGGGAAAAAGTTATATGAGATATTATTATTATATACATCTTTTCCTTAAAGATAGAATCTTTCTCACCTTCAGAAACAAACCGAGCGATTTTTTCATCACCATCGAGAAAATGGATTTTATTATCTTCATTGGTGAATGTGGCTCCAATTATTTTAACAGCTTCTGCGTAAAATCTTTCAGTAGCAATTTCTTTATATCTTTCAGCTTGCTCTTTAACTTTAAGTCTAGCGTCATGTCTAGAAACTTGAGCAGTCTTGCCACTTTCTGTATTAAGAAATTTGGTTTCAATTATCAAATAAACCCCGTAATCTGATCCAAAAATTAAATCTCCTTTTCCTCTTTTAGATTTGACTTCCCATTCAAAATCTATAAGGTATTTAAAGCCTGGACAAATTCTATGGATTCGATTAATCAAGTAATTTTTCAGTTCATCTTCCTGATGCCTCGAACATGCATAAAATTCTTTCCAATGTCTTCTTTTTCCTTGGTCAATTGTTTGTAAATAATGGCTCATATCGCTATCAAAAATCTTGACACCATTTGTCGTTCATGTACGTACATGTAACATGACAGAAATATTTAGTCATGAGTACCACACACCAAATCCTGTATTTGTGAGTTTCTATGGTCTAACCTGAATTGCACCAAAACTTGAATGTTTGTTGTTGTCATCATCAAAAGTCAGCCCAAAAACGACCCACATCAAGTTCCAACTACATGTACATTTATCACTTTTATGGGAAAAACCATCACCTTTAATACCTGCAATCATAAATAGATTTTGCATAACGATAACGATAATGTGCTGTAAATTTTTCCAAAGATCGAATATCATTGCATTGTTAACAAATTTATTGCGGGTTTGCTTTTCAATCAAGTCAAGTGCATTTGAAAAGTTATCGTTATTTATTCTATGATGACACACTCAAACGGATCCCTCCAAAAGTTTTTACACTTAATATAAACTTAACATTTTAAAACACAAATTGTTGTCATTTACTTACGTTGTTAATATAAAAACAAATTTATCACTATCGATAGAAGATAACTTGCTATGAATGTGATCTACAGATTGCACTTGTTGGTCTATCGTCATTTGACGTCGATACGATAACCCAAGAGCCAGGCCACATCTGACACACAGAGCTTGGCCACTGAATGATAATGTTTGCTCAAAGGCGTTGACTCTTGGAAGATAGTAAGCAACGCTATCATCATTTGCAATTCGTCTTCTGTTTGCATATATAAATACATCTGAACTTAAATTTTCTTCTAATGGAGAAAGTAAATTTTTTGGAGGGCATCTTGGAAGAAAATTTCGGAATCTTTATTTTTGTGCATTTTCTCGTTTGAATTAGTTTACGGATGTATAAATTGCATTGTTTTTACTTTTGATTATGCTTCATTTATTTATCATTTTGAATCAAAATAATTTTTTATTTCTGCAAATGACCTCTATATTTTTTTATCGATTGTAAAATCTAACCTTCTCTTCTATTATCTGTTTATATACGCACGGAAGGTTTTGTTTCGTAGGAGTAAGAAATCTAATACAAGGGGATCGGAAAGAACATTTAAAGGATTTGGATACTTGAAACTATGTCATGGTAAAAGACAATGTAACTCAAGATTGATTATGCTGAATATTCAGCACATTCCCAAATTCATCGTGGTGTCAAATTCGAACTAACAATTAATCAACCAAGTTAGAAATTTTGACACATTGATAGAAAAGATGATTAGGGTTGTACCTCAGTACTAGAATTAAAAGATCGGTTTCTTGTTACTTTATCCAAAGCGTGATTGAATAATGCTTCTTTGGAGGTATTAGTTTTTATTTTGAAGAGAATTCATTTCATCAAAGCATGTTTTAACATAAAGCGCAGTCTTCGAACTCAGCTATAAATGATTACTCGATAGTAATGGATTATGTGATCATTGCAAATACCGATACCGTATTTTGCCGTATCTAGCCAACTTATGACAAATATGCGTTTACATATAAATAAGTGATACTTAATACAATAAACTACATGTGATAAATTTAACACTTATTGCAATACTTTAAAAAGGAATGTCATAGGTTTCTTATACACAGTATACTGAAGATTAAACCGTAAGGAAAATTAAAACATTTATATTTTATAATTGTGTAAATTCACGTAGAGGAAGTGACTTTCATCTTATATAATGCGGAATTATCGTTATGCACAAATTGCCGATTTTGGATTTACCAGCTCAATAAGAAATTTCCTTATATCGATATGAGTCCAGAGATGCTAATACACTCAAACTGCAGATACCGATGCTTATAGGTTTGGGATGATGGTCGTGTACAAGATTGTAACTGGCGAATGACCGTTCGATGAGCGGCGTCATGATAGATATACGTGTACACTCGGCGGAACAAAGTTACCGGACACTTTTTCGCAAAATAATAGTGGGGAAACTAATGAAGAACTTGTATTAATGTTCTTAGCATATCGATATAGCTTAAACATAGGTGATGCTAAAATTTCAAGTCTTTTTACTCGTTAATTAAAAAGTTATAGCTAAAATATATCAGCATGTTATATTTCAAAAAGAAATTCGCAACTTTATTGATAATGCAAAAATAAATGAAAAATCATACTTTTATAATCTAAGTTTGTATATTACAAAGTTATATCTAGTCGATATCTTTATTTTTGCTAGACCATTCAATTTTATTATAAAGTTGATAGTGATATCTAAAACATTCTCTGCAATACTCACTTTTTAACAAAAGTACATTCATTTACTACGATCATGAGAATTATGGTTGTGACATTTTCCGCAGTACTCATTTTACTTACTACAATAATTATATATTCAACAGCGAGTGTATTTAATACAATGATGAGTATCCGAAATTTCAGATTTCATCTTCTGAGCTCACTTTAAAAATGGTTTTTGTGATGATATGCTGTGTTTTTATTTAAAATTTTGAGATAAACAAGACACGAATTGTATCTGTGGAAGTCTGGGAGTATCACACATCAAATAATATAACGATATCATAACGAAATAAAATTCAAAACAAGTTTATATTTTGTTTTCTAATATTCAAAATATATTCTAAGGATGTAATAAAGTGTTACGTTCATAATATACTCATTAGTCAAAACGAAACTCATCATTATGCAAGGACGTAAAAATCCACGAAATTGCAAGGAATGGCGCAACAAAAAAACTACAGAAAACTTGTTTATGTACCGTATATGATCGAACACAAGCAACCAATGAATTTTGCACCCTGCCAAAGTGGGGTGGTTACTTATATTCAAATACCAGAGTGTTTGAAGTTGTTTATATCGGTATTTGTAATTGTATTGATTTGATCCCCAAAATGGAGGGGTTGCTTATGTCCGATAATACACGGAATTTGTCGCGTTTCTTGACGTACCATGCTTTGTCATTCCGTGCTTTCTTTGTTTTATAGGGAAATGACGATTCTCACGATAAGCTTGCAAACGTTTTCTCAGCATCTGTGGTGATTCCTTCATTTGATGCTATGACTGCGTTGATGTGGTCCGGCGGCGCTAGTTATTGTTGTGTTTGCACAGTCAAAGTATATTCCACGATTGTTGGAGGAATACGAATGCTTTTTTTTCTATGCGTTTGAAATTTCTCAAATATAAAATTAATACCGATACTAAATTTTCTATTTCCTGTAAATATAGTATACACTAAACCGATCTAGCACGACCAACACCAGTCAAAAAATCAATGGTTTACACGCCCTCATTTCCATGATCTCTCTAATTCTAATCGTGCTATTCACCAAAGAATTTCTTTACGTTATTTCTTTAGCTGTTAGTGTATATTACGAATCATACGTCTCGTGATACGCGTTCAATTTTCATGAACAGGCTAACGAGATAGAATGTAGACGTGTAATAAAAAATTTTAACATTTCGAAAACTTAGAATGCATTAGCTTGAATGTGAAACGATTGTTTTTACAAAAGCTGGAAAATGTCGAATACGCATGATTGCAGTGGATATAGCGATTGTCTAAATGATTGCTGTGAATGTTTCAATTATCACAAATAAAAATACTGACAATCTAAGAGATTTCTTTCGATGTTGAATAAGTTGTCGTCGATTCTATAGTATATTCCACTGTCGATTTCGTATTTGTAGGCGAAGAAACTATTAAACAATAAATCGATTTTGGGAGAAATTGGACCTCCGTTCCCAAGAAAAAAAATCTCAACAACCTCCCCAGAGGAAAATCAAAACTCGATTTGTGAGAAAGCGGCTATATTAAATCGGCAACGTGGATTCTAAACAGCAAGTCACTGAGACCATCCAACCGGACAAAACAATATTCATACAAACCATTACAAGTCACTCTGGATATAATAAAATAATAAAAAAATGGTATACCCCAGATACTAGTCAACAGAATAGTGCGATAAAATATGAAACATATGAAGGATCTGGTAGAATTCACCGATACCACGTCTAATATCACCGCGATCCATTTCACCGACAGACATCATTTAACTGACTATAACGATTAACGATAAGTGTATACAGTCGCTACAGAAAGTAACGCCCGATTTTTTTAGATATATATTCGATTTATTTTATTATACATAAAAATTTTTTTTATCATTAACTAATACATTACTCACCCTCTATATGGCTTCCCCAAACTAACACGTTAAACTTTGGCTACATTTCCTTTAGAGTAGTCTTGAGCTTGTAAACCCCCAAACCCTATGAAAAATAAAGAACCAATAAGCCAATTAGCTGAATCTAGCAAATAAAATCTTAAATTCACAGATTTGAAAAGCTTTTACACTTTAGAATATTGTTCTACAATGGTTTCTATGAAGCCAGGTCTGGGAGAATACGTTAATTGGTTCATAATCATTAATATTCTTCTCTTGAACCTATTTCGTGATCTTTTTAGAATTAGGGTTATGGTTAAGGTTAAACTGAAACGCCATATTATAAAAAAGGATGAAATTTCCTTAACACAAAGATTTTTTGTTGAAAATGTCACGAAATGGCTTAGGTTATCTTTTTTTGGCTTCTTGTAAATGTGCATTTTTGCTTGTGACCTTCCTGTCCCTGGTAAATGTTATTTCTGTAAGAGATCGTTATCCTGTCATTGGGTCACAACTCATTTTTCTTACAACTTGCACGGCACTCAAAATCCCGATAAAAATTACCATTTTACCCTTGTCAAAGTCGGCAATGTGTGTTATATTTATAGCCAACAAATTTCGCCTAGTGTATATTTAAAAGTCAAAGAAATAAACAAATTTGCAATCAACAAAAAGGGAAAAAACGCCACGTTTAAATTTATGTTGACGTTGCACATCCAAATCGGGCGTTACTTTCTGTACAATCAAAAATAGCGATAGCGATAGATACAGTTTGTTCTAAAGTTCATTATGGAAAACTAAAAACCTCCGATACAAATGATTATTCGATAGTTATGGACTATATAAATAGTAAATAATTCCAGCCACAAGAAATTGACTTTAGAGCATCAATTAAGTCATTTAAGTTGAATCATACAGCCAAACCTTTTTATAACCGTTGCATGGTCCTGAGAATATTTGGCCGTTATAAAATACATTGTATATATGACGGTTCCAAAAATTCCATTTGTAATTAAGAAGATCCGTTATACGTATAAAGTGGTTTAACTATACATGAATTAGGTCTGAAATTAATACTGAAGAGGGATTATGCATATTATATCACCTTGGAAATATATTTAATGTGGGATTTTCTGAAATTGCTAATTTTGGACTTGCCGACTCAGCATCAAAAAATTTGCGGAGTAATTCCTTGTATTAGTCCATAGGTGCTCAATGAAAAATCACACACATGAACACAAATACCGTATATCTCTGAAAATAAGCTAGTTTATGCAACTTTCGAGGATTATATTGGATATTTGATTTATTAGTAAAATTTTAATCAGTCTGGATCAAAATATGACATTAAGGAAGTTTGAAGTTAGCGAGGGCTTATGTAATTTAATTTTGATCAAATAATACATCACTTTACGATCATTTTTTAAAAATATGTGAATAAAGATAATGTAATGTAATTCAATGATAAAAAAATCATTAAAAAATGGTGATATCTTATTCTCGGAACATGCATTTACACCGATTTTATGCTGAAAAATGGTGTAGCTTTATTTCGGAAATATACGGTATTTATAGCTTTGGATGATTAAGTACGAGACTGCAATAGTTTGGTGAGCGAAGTCAATAATAACCTTGTATCAGATATTTGTAAAGAGTAGGACATAAGATATCAAATAATATTTCCAGTGGTGTAAATTTATGCTTGATTCCTATTCCAGAAAACAGATCAACTACTGAGAAGTTTGAGACTTTATTAGACCTATCAACGGTATCGGCCGTTTTATTAAATGAAGGCAACTGAATACTTTGCATTTCAGTAATATAACTCTTTAAATATACAGGTGTCATGACATGCAGAAACTAAAAGAACTTGATAGGAAATGAGATCGTAAAAAAAGTATCCAACAAACACAACATATCTGCCCAGATGCAGTTTACACCAGTCAAATCAAAATTAATTTCAATATAAACGTTAGCATTTTATATTAATTTAAAATTATATTGAATATTTAGGCTCTACAAATGTTAGTATGCTCCCAACGAAGGTAAAATCAACATATTTTCTTTCTTTGATGGTGCAAAACAGAAGTATAGCACATGATTTGGAATGACTTGCAAGAAAAACTACAATCATGTGAAATCAAAGACAATGATATGATATCAAATTATACAGAACGTAGGTAAGTTCATCCGATCAAATGATTGTTTAAATCACGTGTACCAAAATACACTCAGGATTTGTGAGAGTTTCCGAACATAAATAAACATCAAATGTGTATTATCACTATTATCACATAAAGAATAATGAATATAAGTGTGTAAAGTTAGGATTCAATTAAATAATATCTCGGTGCTGGTCATCATTGGATCAGAAACTTGTTTATCACAGAACGAAAACTGCCCATAGATGCTTTCCTTCACAATAACAAATTTTTAAGTTGCATAACTGCGAGATCCAAAAAGAGAGTAACAAAACAAGAAATGAAAATAGCTTATGAAAAAGTCACGTTTACTGACATTGTTAATTATATCTCTGACGAAATTGTGAATATTGAACAAAATTATGTATTTTAATTTATGCATCAAATTTGATAATATATTAATTGCTGCCAATTGTGATATAAAGCATATGATAAATCAACCATAAATGAGATCCGCTTTGACGATTATAGCAAATTAATTATTCATATTGACATACCAGTAATAATAAATTATTATTGTAACATTTAGCATGAGAAATCAATCGACGTTACAATTCCATCCAACGTAAAAAAAAATGTAATTATGCAGAATTGCATGGATTCTGTATACGTATTGTGGATTTTCATCAAATATTTGATACTTGCAAAACAAATTAGTATTTTGTTAGCATTTCTACAAATATTTTCATTTATCTATGCAATTCTTTCAACCAGAATGCTGACTTAGTTATAGCAATTGGTTTTATAACACTTTATGATAAAATGATTAATGAACATTTCGAACTTATGAAATTATTAATAATTTTAGTAATGCAGACTTTCCAATAATTTATCTAATTTAAACACTACAAATACATTAAATGAAGAACAACAGAATTATGATTAAGAGCACTTACTAACTACTTGAGATTACGGATAACTGTCAATTGATATCAATGATGATAGAACAGCTAATGAGTGACCATCTTATAACTACTGTCTTTAGGTAGATCTTCTTTTATCAGAATTTGCACTCTGAAAAGCTTTGCCTGGACAAGATGTATTACATTGGGAAGAGGAGAGAATAGCCCTTATTAAAGAAAGCTGAAATAATGGCTGACCATAGCAGAATCGATCTTTAGATATTACAAAAGCATCTTTCATAAGCAATTTAAAGTTAAGATTTCGAAAGAATTTGAGAGAGGATTTCTACTGCCCAAAATAAAGAAGCAAGATGTATTTGGTAGAGTGAAATTCGATATTATAGCCAGCGTATTCGCATAATGCAGAAAAATCCACGTGATTGAATTCTTTAGAGTGCTCTTAGAACAATCTTGAACGGAATTTTTCAACTAAAATGTGAGCTTCATCCAAATATAGTATAAATTTAAGACCCTTGTTCATTGTCTCTTATGATATGAAAATATCTTTGAACGTTAATTCATTGATTTGGTTCATTTGGGATTCAAATTATTTTGTGATAGAAATTTCACTTCACTCCAAAAATCATTACTCTACTTAGCATTCATTTGTTTTTCCCAGAAGACTCTTGATATCAGATTTTTGTAATAATGATATTTTAACATGACTGTGAAAAATACATTAAATCATACATCATCATATCAATGAAATTTTTCAGATACGCGATGCTCTTGGAATAGCCACTACTTTGACTGTCACGAAAGCAAATGTAGATCACAAAAATATGATGTGACATTTTGCTACATGACGAGTTTCGTCATACCCTGAACTTTGCACAAGCGTGACTATAGAACATAAGCGATGTTGTTCATATACACATTGTAATGCTCGTTCAGAATCTTCAAGAAGTAATTAGTTAGATTGTGTATCTTCACAAAGGTTCCTCTGTCAAAAGTATCGAAAAGAGTATGCTCATCTTGGATAAAAACCAGGCCAGGCTAAATAATACTAAATAATACTAAAAAATTACAAGCTTACAATTTTTACCCAAAAGCAAAAATATAGGATATTTTTTTCAAAAAGTTGCAATTCCATACCTATTTTTACCTGAACTTTAGACCACAAGTGAAACCTATCCTGTTTGACCAGTGTTTTACTGAAACAAGTACATGTATCATGTTGCAAGTTAATTCACAGGACCATAAAAAACAGATACTTGTACAAGCTTACCTTCATATTTTTCTCGTTTCTCTAGTCTATATAAATCTGGACAAAAAAGTATAAGTTGTGAACGTTGCAAATAATATAGCAAATAGATGTGCCCCATACTTATTAAGTTCATTAATAATTTCTTCATAAGATACTTAAGGATGTGAAGTTTTTAATTCAATAATTCCTAAGAGTTCATGTTGTTCATGTTACCACTTCTAAGGAGAATAAAAGGAAAAATATTTTTATTATTATCATTATACAGTACTCTTGATTGCAGAAAGTGTGACTCTTGATATCAATATTAGTACTCAGATGTTTTTCTTTGTGATAGAGTTGAGTTTGTGATAATCAACACAAAGTCTTTTTTTCTATTCTTCTTCATTGCTACAACCATGGATGATCCAAAAACTAGTTGAAGATTGAGCTATTTCAGCATTTATCATTTTTTGAATTTTGTTTGAAATAAATTCTTAATCAGTTCATAATACTCGTGATGTTGAATAATTGAGATCAACTATTAAATAAAAGAATACAATAAGATATAATACGTATACATAATTTCGCATGTTA